CTCAGACTCTGGCACAGAATCGGGAACGTTGGAAGCTCTGTCTGACGTGTCTGCCTCCGCGACCCGAAAGGAGAAGCGGCGATAGAAGATTATGATGATGATGATGGTCATTGTCAAAACATTACACTGAATACTAGCAACGAAAAGGAGATCACCTTGAAGGATAATCGAATCGCCGGAATGAAATTCCGCAGGAAACATGGCGTCGAATATATCTCTAAAAAATTTTGTAATTAAGGCTACCGCAAAAAATTGTAATTGTACTTCTTTTCGTTTTCGTCAAGATGAGCAAACAAGACGTTGTGGCACATTGACCTTTCCAAAGCCTTTTTTGTGTCGTCATCTTTGGGAACAATCTGAAAATCATGTTGATCGATTACACATCATATCTTAATTACAAGTTTCAGAAACGAAATTGCACTAGAGTCAAATCAATCAACTAACGTATGATGTGGATTAGTAAAATACATAATAATTATGCTATCGCGTCGCATAATCAACCACGTATTTAATGATCTACACTGCTTAGTGAAACAGCACAGAACTGTAGGCAACTGTTTGTTATTTGAGTTACATAAATTAGTCATCTATCGGATGAGCAAAAGTGCTAAAAGTGCACACTACTGATATGGTAATATGATCGTAAGCTATCTGTTACTTGAATTGTTTGTGGGTTAACGATTTTCTACGACCATTGGGAATGTACTGAAGCACAATGGAGGAAATTCAAGAGAAACCAATTTTAAGCCGTATTTCAGCCTTAATGAAAAGTTACAAAGAATATGATACACAAAATATATCATTAACATTAATGAGCAATATGTAATGTTGTAACAAACTTCTTAACACTTTATTAAGTAAATCTGCAAGTAAACTGGGTCAACAAATTACAACGTAACTGTGAGAAGTACTACAGAAAAAACAGGGAACAGTGTCACTCAAAGGACCGTCGTGGGAAAAGATGTGAGGTCAAAAGAGCACCCCTAATCCTGCACATAACCAAAGAAGATTCAATATGAAATAAACTCAGGCAAGAATCGTTCAGAATGCCACATAAGAAGAACGGACAAAAACCATTATTAACGCTTATTAGTCATAGTATTCTTACAACTACTGACAGATAACAGTAGCGTTTCGGACACCGCAAGCTATCATCATAATTGAAATTAAAACTAATATCTTAGCATTATTTTCAGGCTATAGAACTTACTGTACTATTTACGTTAGTGATAGTAGAAATGATAAGGCACTTTCACCTCAGTAGTTTATGGCTGACATTAATTTACAACTAACAGTCATTACCACACTAAGAGCATTAAGCAGTAGCGGATGCGGGTACTAATTTTTACAAGTACTACTAACGAATTAAAACTGCATTAATAATAGACCCAAGGCGCACAATGTTTTGGCACAGGACAAAGATTTCGGTTGATGTCGCCAACCTTTCTTAATCGCAAACAATATACAGTGGCACGGTCTTGCAAGACTGTCAAGAACTAATCACAGTTGCTTTTTTCTCTTTGTCGGGAGTTTACCTAAGTCTCGAAATGACGGATGATTATAAACGCCCTCATACCTATTCATTACAATGGAACTTGTTTGCTAATTAAGAGCGCTTCTTTGTAGCTGCCAATCGTCCTTAGTGCTTCGAAAAAACGTATTACGCCGCAACTATTACTAATAGGATATTCATAATACACCCTCACGAATCAACCTACGGTATCAACTATTTATATGCACTTTACTAAAACTTCAGTAAAGATCAACGACGAACCTGAAGCAACTGTCTTGACAGGTAACAGCAAGTATAAGAATGCTGATCTCGACCAACCAAACTCTACTAGGAGACCGATAAAAGTTAGGAATAGTGGCTCAGAAAAAAAAACGAAATTTTTTCATGAAGCTGTCTACCCTCTTACGATTTACACATGTCAACCATGAGTTGTGGGG